GTGGGCTGTGGGTGAGTGATCCTGTATTTGCAATGGCAGCAGGTGGTGATGGTGGACTGTGGGGAGGTGATTTGCAGGCACAGCCGCAGCAGAGGTGGTGGTGGACTGTGGGGTGATTCAGTGCAGCAGCAGTAGGTGGTAGTGGGCTGTGGGTGAGTGATCTCAGATTTGCAATGGCAGCAGGTGGTGATGGTGGACTGTGGGGAGGTGTTTGTATGCACAGCCGCAGCAGTAGGTGGTAGTGGGCTGGAGAGCGATCTGTATTTGCAATGGCAGCAGGTGGTGATGGTGGACTGTGGGGAGGTGATCTTGTAGGCAGCCGCAGCAGCAGGTGGTGGTGGACTGTGGGAGGTGATCTTGCATGTACAGCAGCAGGTGGTGTGGACTGTAGGTGAGATGATCTGTATTTGCAATGGCAGCAGGTGGTGATGGTGACTGTGGGGAGGTGATCTTGTAGGCACAGCCGCAGCTGCAGGTGGTGGTAGTGGTGTGGAGGTGATCTCAGTGTGCAGCAGCAACAGCAGGATGGTGGTGGTGACTGTGGGGAGTTGGACTGTGCAGCAGCAGCAGCAACAGCAACAACAACAACAACAACAACACCAACAACAACAACATAAGCAGCAGCAGCAGCAAGGTGGTGGGAGACTGTGGGGGAGCGATTCTGCAGATGCAGCAGCAGGTGATGGTAATGGGATCTGGGGAGTGACAGCAGCCAGCAGCAGGTGGGTAGGGACTGAGAGGATTCTGCAGGTAGCAGCAGCAGCAACAGCAACAACAACAACAACAACAACAAACAAACAACAACAACATAAGCAGCAGCAGCAGCAGGTGGTAGTAGACTGTGGGGAAAGTGATCTGTAGGTGCAGCAGCAGCAGCAACAGCAATAACAACAACAACAACAAATAACAACAACAACAACAATAACAACAAATAAATACAGCAGCAAGCAAGTGGCAGGGTAGTGGATCAGGGGGAGTTGGATCTCTCAGTAGCAACAGCAGCAGCAGCAACAACAACAACAACAACAACAACAACAACAACAACAACAACATAAGCAGCAGCAGCAGCAGGTGATGGTAGTGGACTGTGGGGGAGTTGCGATCTGCAGGCAGCAGCAGCAGCAGGTGGTGGTAGTGACTGTGGGGAGCGATCCTGCAGAGCAGCAGCAGCAGGTGGTGGACTGTGGGGAGTGATCTCTCAGTGCAGCCGCAGCAGCAGCAGGTGGTGGTAGTGACTTTGGGAGTGATTCAGAGGTGCAGGCAGCAGCAACAACGGGATGAAAGCAGCAGCAGCAACAGCAGCAGCAGCAGCAGGTGGCAGGCGCGGTCGGGAATTATTCTGCAGCAGCAGGTGGTGACTGTGGGGAGGTAATCTCAGAGGCAGCAGCAGGGGTGGTGGACTGTGGGGTAGCGGATCCAGTGCAGCCGCAGAGTGGTGTGACGTGGGAAAGCTGATGCCTAGGTGCAGCAGCAACAGCAAATAACAGCAGCAGCAGAAGCAGTGATGGTGCTAGGTGACTGTGGGGGAGCTGATCCTGCAGGGCAATGGCGGCAGCTGGTGATGGTGGACTGTTGAGAGGTGATCCTGCAGGTGCAACAGCAGGTGGTGTGACTGTGGGTGGAAGTTGGTCCTGCAAGGTGGTGCAGAGTGGTGGTGACTGTGGGGAGCGATCTCAGTGCAGCAGCAAACAACAGCAGCAGCAACAAGGCGATGGTGACTGCGGGGAGGTGATCTGCAGCAGCAGCAGCAGCAGGTGATGGTGATCTGGGGAGCGATTTGCAGGTGCATCAAGCAACAGCAGGTGGTGGTGACCACGAGGTGTGGAACCGCGGGCAGCGAAAGGTGGTGGTGGTGACCGTGGGGAGCTGATCCCAGCAGCAGGTGGTGGTGGTGACCGTGAGCCGATTCCCGCACGAGCAGCAAACAGCAGGTGGTGGTGGTGACTGTGGTGATGTACTCGCAGGCAGCAGCAGGTGATGGTGGTGACCGGGGAGCGATTTCTGCAGCAGCAGCAGCAGGTGGAGATGGGACTGGTGAGGGAGGACTGCAGGCAACAGGCAGCAGCAGGCAGGCTGGTGACTGTGGCGGACAGCATGCGTTGCTGCTGGCAGGTGAGTGGGGAGCGATCCTGCAGGCAGAGCACAAACAAGAGGTGGTGGTGACCGCGGGGAGGATTCTGCAGCGCGTGCCAGCAGAAGGTGGTGACTGTGGGAGCGACCTGCAGGCGCAGCAGGTGGTGGTGGTGACTGGGGAGAGCGAGATTCTGTACGAGCAGCAACAGCAGTGGTGGACCGGTGGGTGATGCGAGTCGCGCAGCAGCAGCAGATGGGTGATCTGGGGAAAGGTGATCTGCAGCAGCAGCAGCAGGTGGTGATGGTGACTGGTGAGGGAGGACGCAGAGGCACAGCGGCAGCAGCAGGTGGCATGGTGATCTGGGGAGGTGATCTCTGCAGCAGCAGCAGCAGCAGGTGGTGGTGGGGGAGTGTGGGGGAGCGATTCTGCAGGTGAGAGCAAACAGCAGTGGTGGTGGCAGACGGGAGGGTGATTTGCAGGCGGAGAGCAGAAGCGTGTGTGGTGACTGGGGAGCTGGTCTGTAGGTGAGCAGGTGGTAAGAATTGGGGAGCTGATTGCAGGAGCAGCAGCAGCAGGAGCAGCAGGTGGTGGTAGTGGGCTGTGGGTGAGCATCTGCATTTGCAATGGCAGCAGGCAGATGGTGGGACTGTGGGGGAGGTGTTTTGTAATGCAGGAATGCAGCAGCAGGTGGTGGTGAACGTGGGGAGGTGATCAACGCAGCAAGCAGCAGGTAGTGACTGTGTGAGATGATCCTGCATTTCAACGGCAGCAGGTGGGTGGTGACTGTGGGGAGTGAGCAGGCAGCAGCAGCAGGTGGTGGAATCGAGCGTGATTTGCAGCAGCAGCAGCAGGTGATCAGGTGAGATGACTAGACGGCAATGCAGCAGCAGGTGGTGGTGACCGTGGGGAGGTGATTTTGCATGCGCAGCAGCAGCAGGTGGTAGGACTGTGAGAGATGACCTGCATTTGCAATGGCAGCAGGTGTGGGTGACCGGTGGGGAGGTAATGCGGGCGAAACAGCAGCAGCAGGTGAGCAGGTGACTGTGGAGGTGATCAGCAGCAGCAGTAGGGACTGTGGGTGAGATGATTCTGTATTTGCAATGGCAGCAGGCAGGTGGTGGTGACTGGGGAGGTAACAGATGCAAGGAAACGCAGCAGCAGGTGGTGGTGACTGTGGGGAGGTGATTTTGCAGTGCAGCAGCAGTAGGTAGGGGATCAGGGTGAGATGACCTGTATTTGCAATGGCAGCAGGTGGTGGAGGTGACTGTGGGGGAGGTGTTCCCAGGCAACAGCCATGCAGAAGGGTGGTGGTGACCGATAGGTGATCTGCATGCACAGCAGCAGCAGGTAGTGACACTGCAGGTGAGATGATCTCTGTATTTGCAAATGGCAGCAGCAGGCAGGTGATCGGAGGTGTTTCAGGCAACAGCCGCAGCAGCAGGTGGTGGTGACTGTGGGGAGGTGATTTGTATGTACAGCAGCAGCAGGTGGTAGTGTGATCAGGTGAGATGACTTGCATTTGCAATGCGCAGCAGGTGGTGATGGTGACTGTGGGGAGGTGATTTTGAGGGCTACAGCCGCAGCAGCAGGTGGTGACGTGGGGGAGGGTGATCTTGCATGCAACAGCAGCAGCAGGTGGTAGTGACTGTGGGTGAGATGATCTGTATTTGCAATGCAGCAGCAGGTGGTGGAGACCGTGGGGAGGTGATCTGCGCAGCAGCGCGGTGGTGGGATCAGGCGAGATGATTCTGTATTGCAACGGCAGGCGGTGGCAGGGATCAGGGGAGGTAAGCCCAGGCACAAGCCGCAGCAGCAGGTGGTGGTGAACGGGGAGGCTGATCAGCGTGCAGCAGCAGCAGCAGGTAGTGACCGTGGGTGAGATGACCTGTATTTGCAATGGCAGCAGGTGGTGGTGATCAGGGGAGGAAACCCAGCGCGAAAGCGCAGGTGACTGGGGGAGGTGACTATGTGCAGCAGCAGGTGGTAGTGACCGTGTGAGATGATCTGGCCTGCAATGGCAGCAGGGTGGTGATCAGGGGCAGAAAGCCCAGCAGCAGGCGGTGACCGAGTGGCCAGGCGCAACAGCGCAGCAGGTGGTAGTGACCGTAGGCGTGAGATGACCCCACACGAAGCAGCAGGTGGTGGTGACTGTGGGGAGGTGTTTGAACAGCAAAGCAGGTGGTATGAGGGGAGGTGATTTTGCGCAGCAGCAGGTGGGATCAGGAGATGATTCTGCATTTGGTAATGCGGTGGTGGTGACCGGGGAGGTGACCAGCAGCCGCAGCAGCGTGACTGGGGAGGTGATCGCACAGCACAGCAGGTAGTGACTGTGGGTGAGAGATGATCTGTATCTGCAACGGCAGCAGGTGGTGACCGTGGGCAGCAGCCAAGGCGCAACAGCCGCAGCAGGTGAAGGGATCAGGAGACCAGCAGCAGGTGATCAGGCGAGATGACCCTGCATTTGCACGGCAGCAGTGGTGGTCGTGACACACCACACAAACCAACCCAAGTAGGTGGAATGGGTGAGACATTCCGCATTTGCAATGGCAGCAGGCGGTGGGCGACTCTGGGGAGGCGTCCCCAGGCTGCAACACATGCGCGAACGCGAGGTGATCTAGCGCGCAGCGTAGCGGTGAGTGACATAAGCAGATGATCCATATCTGCAACGGCAGCAGGTGGTGGGTGACTGCGCCGGCAGGTGCATACCAGGCATCCGCCGCAGCAGCAACGTGCGCATAACGGCTGGAACCGTGACGGGAGGTGAACGGTTGGCAACAGCAACAGTAGGTGGTACGTGACATCCACGTGCGGTGACTGAAAACCCAGCGGCATCAGGGTAACGCGCAGCAGCAGCAGGTAGGGATCAAGACAGGTATTTACAACGGCAGCCAGCAGCGGTAGGTGAACTGTGGGGAGGTGATCCAGCATGCTAACAGCCCAAGCAGCAGGCAGTGACCGTGGGGAGCATCGATCTCAGCATCAAGTAACCACGAACAACCGCAGGTGGTGGTGGTGACCGTGGGGAGGAGCCCAGGCACGCAGCAGCAGGTGGTGAACCGTGTGAGGACGGTGGCGCGCAGGTGGACGTGTGATGATCACGGCAATGCAGCGCAGGTGCGGCAGGTGCAATGCAGCAGTGCGTGAACTGGGGAGGACTTTTGCGCGCGCGGTGTGGTGGACGCGCAGACCGCAGGTGGTGGTGGTGACCGTGGGGAGGTGTCTTCGCGTTTCGCGCAGTGCGTGAGCGACCAGGCGGCGGCGGCGCAGGCGACCAGGTGAGATGATTCTTGCACGCGCGGTAATGGCAGGTGGTGGCAGAAACGCGAAAGCCTGCGCGCAACAGCGCAGCAGCAGGTGCAGCATTCGTGCGCAGCAGCGGCGGCAGACGAACCGCATTTGCAATGGCGGCAGGTGATGGTGCACGGGGAGAAAGTTTTGCGCGGTAGTGCGTGTGTGGCGCGACCAGATGTACAGCAGCAGCAATAACAATAACAATGCAGCAGGCGGCAGCGACGGCAGGCGGCGGTGGGCCAGGGGAGTTGAATGCGCGGCGTGCAGCAGCAGGTGGTATCGTGGGTAAATGACCGAAGAGATGGAAAGATGCAGCAGCAGCAACACACAGAGATGCAGGAGAAGATGGACGTGTATGACTTGCAGTAATGGCAACAGGTAGAGGAACAAGACTGTAGGCAGCAGCAGGTGGGGATCACAGAAGGACTAGTAGAAAAGAAAAATAAATAACAAGACAAGTCAACAACAACAATAACAATAACAATAACAATAACAATACTGAAGCAGCAGCAGCAGTGCAGCAGGTATGTGAAATTGTGAGGAGCACTGGAGGCAGCAGCAACAGTCGTGGTGTGGATTGGGGGAGGGAGCGATTGCAGGCAGCAGTGCAGGTGGGTGGTGGTGGGACAGGGAGGATTTTGTGCAGGAGCAGATGGTGGTGGTGGACTGGGAGCGATTCTGTAGGCAAAGGTGGTGAAGGATCGTAAGATGATTCTGCAGACAGCAGGTGGTAGTGGTGACTGTGGTGAGCTGGATTCTGCAGGTAACAGCAGCAGCAGCAGCAGCAGCAACAACAAATGGCGAGCAAGCAGGTGGCGGTAGTGTATTGTGGGGATGCTGACGCGCAGGTGCAGCAGCAGCAGCAGGTGGTGATGGTGAACGTGAGGAGCGATTCTGCAGGCAGCAGCGCAGGTCGTGGTGGTGATTGGGGGAGTGAGCGATTTCTGCAAAGGCAGCAGCAGCAGGTGGTGGTAGTGCACGCAGGAGCGATCGTGGTGGCAGCAGCGCGGTTGTGTGGTGGGACGGGGGCAGCGATTCTGTAGCAGTATAACAACAACTGCAGCAGCAGCAGCAGCAGCAGCAGCAGCAGCAGCAGCAGCAGCAGCAGGCGTGGCGGCGGCCTGTGGGGAGCTGATTCCGTAGGGTGCAGCTGGCGTGGTGGTGGTGACCGCGGGGAGGTGATCCTGCAGTGCAGCATGTGTGTGGTGACTGGGGAGCGATCTGCAGGCCACATCAGCAACAGGTGGTGGTGGTTGACTGTGGTGAGCTGACTGGTGATGGCAGCAGCAGCAGGTGTGGTGACTGTAGAAAGCGATCAGGCAGCAGCAACAGTATCAACAATAACAATAAATAAATACCAACAAATAACAAATAAATGTCAGCATGAAGCAGCAGCAAGGCAGGTGTGGAGACTGTGGAGCGATTGCAGAGACAGCAGCAGCAGGTGATGGTAGTAGACTGTGGGAGTGATTCTGCAGATGGATGAGATCAGGATCAGAGCTGATCGCAGACGCGCGTTATGCGTGAGATGCAGTGTGACCGTGGGGAGTTGATCTGCAGCAGCAGCAGCAGCAGGTGACGGGGGAGCGATCGGTGGCGCAGCAGCAGCAGCAGCAGCAACACTGGGTCAGTTAAAAGCGCAAGCGCGGCAGGCGTGGCGGCGGCCTGTGGGAGAGCGATCGCAGCAGCAGCAGGTGGCAGATGGTGGTTCGTGGGGAGCGATCGTAGCTGCAGAAGAAAGGCAACAGGTGGTGGGTGGTTGATCAGATGCTGCAGGTGCAGCAGCAGGTGGTGGTGATGGTGGTCTGCGGGGAGCGATCGCACCGCAAGCATCAGCCAACAGGTGGTGCGGCTGACCGTGGGGAGCTGATTCTGCGCACAAGCGCAGTGAGGCGGCAGGTGACCGGGGAGCGATCTCAGGGCGCAGCAGCAGATGCAGCAGGACCGTGGTGAGCGATTCTGCAGCCGCAGCATCAGGGCAAACAGAGCGACGGCAGAGGATGCAGCAGGCAGCAACAACAAAACACCAGCAGGCGCAGAAGGTGGCCCGTGGAGAGCGACTGCACGCAGCACAAGCGGTGGTGGTGGTACGTGGAAGAGCGATGCCAGACAGCAGCAGCAGCAACAGCAGCATCAGGCGGTGGTTGACCGTAGAAGCGATTTCTGAAGCAGCACACAACAGCAGCGAAGAAGGTGATAGTGATGCCGCAGGAGCAGCACAACAGGCGCAGCAGGCAGAATGTAACTGACTGCAGCAGCAGGGTAGTGACTGGGGAGCGATCGCAGGCACCGAACAAAACAACAACAACAAGAGCAGCATCAGGTGGTGGCAGCGACCCTGTGAGCTGATCCTGACAGCAGCAAGGCATGCAGCAGCGACCAGAGCGATTCACAAAAAGACAGCAGCAGGTGGCGACTGTGAGAGCGACTCAGCACAACAACAACAACAACACAAGCAGCAGCAGGGTACCAGGGACGAGCGACTGCAGGTGCAGCACAGGTGGTGGTGACGGGCAAAGATTCTCAGGTGCAGCAAAACAACAACAAAAACACAAGCAGCACAAGGTGACTGTGGGACGATTCGCAGGCAGGTAGGTAATACTGTGAAAGGACGATACTGCAGCAGCAGCAGGTGGAGAGGACTGTGGTGATGCAGGTGCACAAACAGGTGACTGTGGGAGAGATGATTCATGCAGCAGCAACAGCAAGATGGTGGATGGTGACTCAGGGGAGCGATTTTATGCAGCAACAGCAGGCGGTGGTGACTGCCGGGGAGGTGATCTCAGGCGCAGTCAGCAAGCAGGTGGTGGTGGTGACCGGGGGAAGCGACCTGCATGCGCAGCAGCAGGTGGTGGTGACCGTGGGTAGTGGATCCTGGCCAGCAGCCGCAGGAGCGGTGGGTGGACCGTGGGGAGCGATTTCAGCAGCAGCAAACAACACAGCAGAAGCAGCAAATAGTGATGCCGTGGGGTGACTGAGCAGCAGCAGCAGGTGATGGTGGATCAGGGGAGCGATTTGTAGAAGCATCAGCAACAGCAGGTGGTATGAAGGACTGCCGGTGAGGCTATGCAATGCACAGAAGGTGGTGGTGGTGACCGGGGGAGCTGGAGGCAGGTGGTGGTGGGGAGCGATCACGAGCAGCAACAGCAGGTGGGTGGTGGATCGTGGGTGATGGGCCTGAGCAGCAGCAGGAGATGGTGGGACCGGTGGAAGCGATTTGCAGCAGCAGCAGGATGGTACTGGTGAGGGGAGGGGACGCACAGGTCAGGCAGGTAACAGGGACAGGGGAGGCGATCTCAGTGCGCAGCAAGCAGCAGGTGGTGGTGGTGACTGTGGGGAGCGATCTCTTGCAGGCAGCAGCAACAGCAGGTGGTGGTGGTGTGTGATTATGGGGGAGGACTGCAGGTGACAGAAGGTGGTGGACTGTGGGGAGCTGGCCTGCAGGTGCAGCAGGTGGTGAAGGGAATGGGGAGCGATATCCGCAGCAGCAGGAGCAGCAGGTTGCGGTGGTACTGCGGTGTGAAAGGATTTGCAGCAGCAGCAGTATCAGCACAGCAACAACAACAACAACAACAAAATAAGAGCAGCAAGCAGGTGGTGGGTGAAAAATAAGCCGGGTTATCTGTGCAGCAGCAGGTGGTGGGACTGGGGAGCATTCTGTAGGTGCAGAAGCGAAAGCAAAACAACATAAGCAGCAGGTGTGGGAACAATGGGGAGTTGACTTGCAGGCAGCAGCAGGTGTGTGCACTGGGAGCGATCCATGCAGGAAACAGCCAACAAACAGCTTAAGCAGCGGCGGCGGTGGTGGTAGCGGACCGGGAAGTTGATCCTGCGGGCGCAGCAGCAGGTCGCGGTGACCGTGTGGAGTTGATTCTGCGCAGCAGCCGAAAGCAAAATACGGGCCAGCAGCAGCAGGCGGTGGTGGCAGTGATCAGGGGCAGCGATTCTGGACAGCAGCAGCAGGTGATGCAGTGATCAGAGCGATCGCAAAAAGCAGGAGCAGGCGGTGGTAGTGACTTTGGGGAGCGATTTTGCAGCAGCAGCAACAACAGCAGCAGCAGCAGCAGCAGCAGCAGCACCAGCAGGTGGGTCGTGGCGGCGGTCGTGGGAGCGATTCTGCAGGTGCAGAAGCAGGTGGCCAGGGGAGTTACTTGCAGCCGCAGCATCAGCAACAGGTGGTGGTGAAGCGATCGTGGGAGCGATCTGCAGGACAGCAGGACAGCAGCAGGTGGTGGTGGGATGGGGAGCTGATCCTGCGCAGGCGGCAGCAGCAGCAGGTGGTGGTGACCATGGTGAGTGATCCTGCAGCAGCAGCAGCCGAAAGCAAAACAACACAGAGCAGCAGCAGCAGGTGGTGGTAGGTGACTGGGTAGTCGATTCTGGAGATGCAGCAGCAGCAGGTGATGGTAGGGGGAGTGACTGCAGGTGCAGCAGCAGCAGCAGCAGCAGCAGCAGCAGCAGCAGGCGTGGCGGCGGCCTGCGGGGAGTGATCTACAGGTGCAGAAGCAGGTGGTGGTGGGCTCGTGGGAAGCGATCTGTAGCGCATCAGCAACAGGTGGTGGTTGACTGTGGTGAGCGATTCTGTAGGCAGCAGGTCGCGCAGCGGGTGCTGGGGAGCGACCTGTATTTGCAATGGCAGCAGGTGTGATGGTGACTGTGGGGGAGAGACTTTGTAGGCACAGCCGCAGCAGCAGGTGGTGGTGGACTGTGGGGAGGTGACGGTTCAAAGCAGCAGCAGTAGGTGGTGGTAGTGAACTGTGGGTGAGATGATTCTGTATTTGCAATGGCAGCAGGGGTGCAGATGGTGACTGTGTGGGAGGTGATCTTGCAGGCAAAAACGCAGCCGCAGGTGGTGGTAGTGACGTGGGGAGGTGATTCTGCAGCAGTGCAGCAGCCACAGCAGGATGGTGGTGGGTGGGGACCAGGGGAGCTGGATTCTGCAAGCACAGCAGGATGGCGGTGGTGACTGGGGGAGCGATCAGGAGCAGCAGCAGCAGCCAGCAGGATGGGTGGTGGTGGACTGGGGGAGCGGACGGTGCGGTGCAGCAGCAACAGCAGCAGGTGGTGGTGACTCGGGGGAGGTGATCTGCAGTGGCAGCAGCATGTGGTGGTGGTGGACTGTGGGGAGGTGACCTGCAGGCAAAAGCAAGCAGCTGCAGGTGACTGTGGGTGAGCCGATTCCTGGAGGTGTAGCCTGCAGAGTGGTGGTGACTGGGGGAGCGATTCTGTGCAGCAGCAACAACAGCAGGAGCAACAGGTGATGGTGGTGACTGTGGGGAGGTGATCTGCAGGCAGCAGCAGCAAGCATGGTGGTGACTGTGGTGAGCGATTCTGTAAGGTGCAGCAGCAGCAGCAGGTGGTGGTGACTGTGGTGAGCGATTTCAGGTGCAGCAGCAGCAGCAGCAACAGCAATAACAACAACAATGAATAAAACAACAGCTACAACAACAACAAATACAAGCGGCAAAGAACAGGTGTGGTAGCAGATCAGGGGGAGCGATTCTGTGCAGCCGCAGCAGGTGATGGTAGTGACTGGTGGGGAGCGATTCAGGCAGCCGCAGCAGCAGGTGGTAGTGGATCCTTGGGGAGCTGATCTGCAGGCAGCCGCAGCAGCAGGTGGTGGTAGCGGACTTTGGGAGCGATTCTGAAGGCAGCAGCAGCAGGTGATGGTAGTGTGGACTGTGGGGAGCGATTCTGCAGCAGCCGCAGCAGCAGGTGGTGGTAGTGACTTTGGGAGCGATCTCTGCAGCAGCAGCAGCAACAACAAACAGCAGCAGCAGCAGCAGCAACAACAGCAGCAGCAGCAGCAGTGCAGGCGGCGGGGCCTGTGGGGAAGCGGGATTTTTTGCGCAGCAGCAGGTGGTGGTGGTGACTGTGGGGAGGTACCTGGTGCAGCAGCAGGGTAGTGACTGTGGGAAGCGATTCTGCAGCAGCCGCAGAGTGGTGGTGATCAGGAAAGCTGGGATGCCTGCAGCAGCAACAGCACAACAAGCAGCAGCAGCAGCAGGTAACGGTAGGACCGTGGGGGAGCTGATTCTGTACGCAATGGCGGCAGGTGGTGATGGTGACTGTTGGGGAGGTGATTCTGCAGGCGCAGCAGCAGCAGGTGGTGGTGATGAAATCTGGGGAGAGTGATTTATAGGCAGCAGCAGCAGGAGGTGGTGGTGGTGGACTGTGCGGAGCGATTCTTGCAGACAGCAGCAGCAGGTGATGGTAGTGACTGTGGTGAGCGATTCTGCAGCAGCAGCAGCAGCAGGTGGTGGTAGTAGACTTTGGGGAGTGATTCTGTAGGCAGCAGGCGACAACAACAACTACAGCAGCAGCAGCAGCAGCAGCAGCAGTAGGTGGTGGCGGTGGATTGGGGGAGGTGATTTGCAGGTGCAGGAGCAGAAGGTGCAGGTGGTGGGACTGTGGGGAGTTGGCTCTGTAGGTGCAGCAGGTGGTGAAGCGACTGTGGGGAGTGATCTGCAGGGCAGCAGCAGCAGCGCGGTGGTGACTGGTGGAGAGCCGATCCTGCAGGCAGGAGCGCAGGTGGTGGGACTTTGGGGAGTTGATCCGTAAGTGCATCAGCAGCAGCAGCAGGTGGTGGTGACGGCGGCCTGCGTGGGGGAGCGATTCGTAGGTGCAGAAGCCACGCAGTGGTGGTGCTCGTGGGGAGAGCGATTCTGTAGCCGCAGCATCAGCAACAGGTGGTGGTTGACCGTGAGCGATTCTGCAGGCAGCAGGAGCAGCAGCAGCAGGTGCCGGTAGTGGGGCCGTGGGGAGCGAATTCTGTATTTGCAATGGGAGCAGGTGGTGATGGTGGACTGGGGGAGGTGATCAGGCACAGCCGCAGCAGCAGGTGGTGGGACCGTGGGGAGGTGATTTGCATGTGCAGCAGCAGTAGGTGGTAGTGGATCGAGATGATCCTGTATTGCAATGGCAGCAGGTGGGTGATGGTGGAGCGTGGGGAGGTGATTCAGGTGACAGCCGCAGCTGCAGGTGGTGGTGACTGTGGGGAGGTGACCTGCAGCAGCAGCAACAACAGCAGGAGCAACAGGTGATGTGGTAGGGGACTGTGGGGAGAGGTGACCTGCAGGCAGCAGCAGCAGCAGGTGGTGAGGGTGACTGGGGGAGTTTATTCATGTGCAGCAGCAACAGCAGGTGGTGGTGGTGACTGGGAAGGTGTGATTCTCAAAAAGAAGGTGGTGGAAGCGTCAGGGGGAAGACTGTGCAGCAGCAGCAGCAGCAGCAGGTGGTGGGACTGTGG